GGGCGTTTGTGAATCAGAGGGGAAACCAGCAGAAACAGGTGCGCCTCCGCCTCTCCGTGCGGCACACGGCGACGACCGGACGCTTCCAGGCGCCGGCAGGCCTCGAGCAGGGCGTGAGCACCGCGAGGGCCTGTGGTGCGAGGGCCCCGCGGAGCCTGGACACACGGGTTTGGGGGCCCAGCCGGCCTTACCGTGTGCACCCGCGCAGCTCTGAGAATGTTCACAGCAAACCCACGTGTGATGCAACCCACAGGCTCCCCAGCTGGAGCGGAGGTCACTAAGCAACGGGAGCACTACGCTGCCCCGAAAAGGCCGCACAGCCTGCAGCAGCAGCACAGCCCGTGCGGACAGCGGGAGGAGCGTCAAGCGCACCCCAGGCGGGCCGTGCGGATGCCGGCGTGGAGGGAAAGCAGCGCACAGGAGCAGACCTCGGCCGCTCCTCCTTCCCGGAGGAGCTGGAAGGGCAGAGGGCGCGGCCCCACTCTGCTGAGAGCGCCGCGCCTTGTGGCCTGGGGGTGGAGCTGAAGGCCTCGCACCGCGCCGTTCCAGGCCTTTTCACATGTTTTCCTTTATTCTGAGACAGGATCTCGCTAGGTCACTAAGTCGCCCGGGCAGAACTCCCACTTGCGACCGGTCTGCCTCGGCCTCCCAGCATGCTGGGGCCGCAGGTTTTAAAATCTGCATCTGTCCTTGCTGCTCTTCATTCCTTACCTGTAGCTGATGGGTAGTTCATGAAAATTCAGACGCCAGCGCTTCCGCAGCGCTCGGGCCGGGCCGTGTTAGCGTCCCACTTCCACAGGTGGGGAGACCGAGGCACAGACCGCTCAGGTGACCCCAGGTTCACGCTGGTGACCAGAGAGAGGGACGTGTGTGCCTGCGCGCGTGTGTAGGGTTTCAAACACACGCTGGGCGCTCACGGCCCTCCTCCGAGTGCGTGGGCCGGGGCTGGCGTCCGCAGGCTCAGCCCCCTGTGCCCGGCACGGGGTCGCGGCCAGCGGGTTTGTCGGGGCGGCGGCGGCACAATGAGCGGAACTGAGCTGGAGTCGGGGTCAGGAGAAGGGACGGGGTTTGAGGACTCCGGCGCAGCAGAATAAGGACTCAGGGCTGATCTGGGAGGCTGAGGCGGGAGGACCGAAACGTTGAGTTCGGCCTGGGCAACGCAGCCACTTAGCAAGACCCTGACTTAAATTTTTAAAGAAGAAGCAAAGGCCCGGAGTTCCAATAAGCCGGGCTCCGCGCGCCCCTTGGCGGAGGAGGGGCTGCGGTGTGCCGGGGCGTTGCGGCGCGAATAGGAGATCGCGCGGAGGGCGGGCGCGGGCGGGACCCGGCCTGGGCCCGCCCCGC